GCTGAAAACACCGCGAGTCACGTGTGTTTGAGTTTGTGTATCAGATGAAACTACTCCACGCATTCACACAGACACACAGAACATGCAGACTTATTAGCGACATGCACTGACTGGTTGCTGTAACAGTGATAGGATGTTAGATTAATCCATCTTGAGTAAAAATGTCCAGAGTTTATCATCATTATTAACATAAATTTGATCATAATCTCGATATGATATCATTTATCGGCCGACGCTAATTTCGGCTATTTATAGAACGTGCTTGGCGGGCGACTCAAGAGACTCCATGCGGGCTACCAGGTGCCCACGTTGGTGACCACTGCACTACAGCATTAAGACATATGTAGGCCAATGGGAGAAACTCAAACACACTCAATAGGATATAGTTATGTTACCCTGGCAACTGCTTCCACTGCATATGCCGTCCTGAGATGGACGGAGTCAGTTCATTACCTGGATTGCTAGTTTTGGGTTCTGTTGTATAACCTGCTATGGGCTGTGAGGGTGTTCACATTACAATTGCATAACTGATTATTTAAACACTATTGCACTCCAAAAGTTTGGGGTCAGCAAGATTTTTAATGTTTTTAAAATAAGTCTCTTCAATCACCAAGGCAATGTTTATTTCATTAAAAATACTGAAAAACTGTTATATTGTTAAACATCATTACAATTTAAAATGACTGTTTTCTACTTAAATATATTTTAAAATGTAATTTATTCCTGTGATGGCAAAGCTGAATTTTCAGCAGCCCTTACTTCAGTGTCTCTTGATCCTTCAGAAATCATTGCTGATTTGGTGCTCAAGAAATATTTCTTATTATTATCAATAAAAGTTGTACTGGTTAATATTTTTTTTGTGGAAAATGTGATTTTCTCAAGATTCTTTAAATAAAAAGTTAAAAATAAAAGTTCAAAATGGATTTAAATTAAAATAGATTGTAACATTATAAATGTCTTTACCACTACTTTTGATCAAATTAATGCATCCTTGCTGAATAAAAGTATTAATTTCTTTTATTCAAATAAAAAATAAATAAAATCTTACTGACTCAAAAGTTTGAATGGTAGTGTATGTAGGCCTGTCGCAATAATCAATATATCAACTTATCGCGCAATATATGTACATGACCTCAATAATTTTTGGTGACGTAATATATCGCCCATTATATTTACTTATATTTCAAATTTAAAAAATGCTTCTACAAACAAAGTTTCATCTGCAGATATGGCCTAAATATTCTTAAAAATAAAAAGTTTGTTGTCATTTGGAAGTGTGTAGGCCTTCTTGCATTATTATGCTGTTACATTATGATTATATGTTCAGTGGCATAAAATGGTCTTTAAAATGACAATAATATAGTTTATCGCAATTATTTCTGGGGCAATATATCGCACAACAAAAAGTTGTTACCGTGACAGGCCTAATTTATGTTATAAAAATACTTCATAATGTCCCTACTTATTATGTAAATACAACTAAAAGTTATCCATTCATTGGTTATAAAACATTACTCTGGATTTTGAGCGTCCTGACACAACAATATTGGCTCAACCAATGGTGCGAGTTTGGTCAGGAATATCTGTTTGTGCAACCAGTGGCAGACGAGGGAATATTTGAGATCTGTACAGAAAAAAACTAATTATTTTACATTTGTTTGGTGATGCCAGTGCTGCAGAAATCATATGCTTCTCCAAAAAAAAAATTGCTTTGATGGGCAAAATGAGATACAGCCTGAGGCTCAGAGAACATAAAGAGACAGAAGGTGGCAGTCAGGACAGCCAGGTCAATGTCTGAGAACAAAGAGCTCCTAAGTACTTCCTAATATAGTTCCTGGCAATATAACTGTGAAACTAGAGACCTTCAAACTGAGCAATTAATAGGCTATTACCGAACCATCGTCCCCCAGCATGCTTTGATCTTACGAGTAGTTTCGTAGGTCTAAAGACGGGGTTACCATCACACACCAGTGTCCTTACTTTCACTTGTCAAAGTCCATTCAGATTTAAAGATCAAAGGATTTGAGCATGTCTGACCAGCTTCTTACTTAAATCAGTTCACGAAAACGCCTTGAAAAATCCACGCTATGAAATGACTTCCAAGCCTGGCACAAACATATGTAGTTCCAGAGAACAAATCAAGCAGAATCAGAGTTATGGCGAGACTGTTGCAGCTGTATGGCTGTCTCTTTCTTGCAAATCAAACGCAGTGGGCTGAATTATCATACTGGAGGCCTGTCAGAGAGCTTTTATCATTCTAATTAATTTGCCAAAAGGCTACAGCCGTGGCTATTTTTATTTGAGAATAAAGGGGGAAAAAAAAGGAAAAGGGGAGAAAAGAAAACAAAATGCCGCCAGTGCCTTATGCGCTCATAAGACAGATGCACGGATGATTTAGACCTACTGCTAGAGGGGGATCATCACTAAATGAGAAACGAGCATGCTGCAGAAAAACGAAGGATTTATAACCACTGGAAACAGAAGAGCACATACAAAACAAAATGTATGGGATGACAAGCACAACAGCAACATCTATATGTGCTTGGTGGCTACTATTTTTGATAACAGAAAGCTGTTCCCAACCTTGATCCTGGAGGACCACCAATAGTACACATTTTTGGATGTCTACCTAATCAAACACCTGATGCAACTCATCAGCTCTTTAGTGAAGTTCTCCACAATCTGAAATGGGTGTGTACGGTTGGGATTCCCCCAGGAACCGGGTTATATCCACCTGTGGCAGGCTGGAAAATAAAAGAACAGCAACATATGGCATTCCAGATTAGTGTTTTAGCTCATTAGGACAGTGACTCACAGGGTTACAATCTTAATCTCAAGATTTACCAAATAATGATAAACACGGCAAAGGTGGAGAATACAACAACCAACCATATTTTACCCCTCACACCTTCTAACCCACCATGGAGACATCACAAGTGGCACCTCTCACACCTGAAGCATCTACCTGCTCATGATATGGTAGATGCAGTTGAAGAAATGGCAAGCATTAGGGTATATAAAATAATCTGATTCAAATTAATAATCAAGAGTAGAGAAATATGAAATTTGCTTAGAAGTTCAAGAACATAAGACTGAGCTCACCTTCAGGAAACGGGTTGGGCTGAACCACATAAAGGAAAGCGTGCATCATGTTAAATAAAATCCCAATGGCCCCAGGCTCGTAATAGGCGACGGTATCGTAAACTCCGGAGGGGACGAAGCCGAAATCCAAAGTTCTCTGCGCTGGAGTAGCACCGGACTGCCTGTCCTGGAGTTCCCCGGACGTCAAGCCCCAGCACAGAAAAATCAGTCCCGTTTTCCACAGCATGATTAGTTCTAGTGTTTAAGCAATTCCAGGTGACAGAAGTGGAGGAAATTCTGGGTTGTACTATGAGGGACAATTTCGGCGATTTCAGATAAACCGCAGGTGTCAAGTCCTGCTGCCCGGCGAGCGACTCATGATGAGCATGGTCTCCCCGCGGCGAGCGGCTCCAGCAGGTTCATGGTGCGCCTCTCGGTCGGTCGGCCGGTCAGTCAGATGCCCCGCGATAAAAACACGGCTGA